AGGACGGGGAGGATTTCATCGGTGGGGAAGGGCAGCACAGCACATGGAAGGGCACAGAGCAGCCCAAAGGCATTCCTTTCCCCCATCTTGGTTTCCCTGTGCCTTGCTTTAGAGGGACTGGCACTCTCACCTCCTAACAGGACCGCAGGCTTTGTGGAGCAGATGAGAGAGGCAACTTTTCAGCTCCAGAGACGCTGCCTTGGACAAGCTGCCTCACCTCAGCAACAGGGCAAATTAACTTCTAAACTTGGGGAGAGGGGGTGTTTTTTTAATATGAAAAATGACAACTCCACCACCACCCACCTGAGAAGGCTATTGTGAGAGTTGCTTAATATCACGTAAAGAGAGGGGCGCCTGGGTGGCTCAGTCAATTAAGTGTCTGCCTTCGGCTCAGGTCATGATCCCAGGACCCTGGGATACAGTCCCATGTCGTTGTCCTCAGGCTCACTGCTCAGAGGGGAGTCCACTTCTCCCTCTGCCCCTCCCCACCTCTTGTGCTCACTCTCTCTCTCTCAAATAAATAAATAAAATCTTAAAAAAAAAAAAAAATCACGTAAAGAGAATCCAGGACACAGGAGTGCTCAGTTAGTGTGAATCCTCATCCCTTCTTCCACCCTTGCAAATAAACTCTCTCCACCTTCTCCTCTAACCTCTTTTCCCAGGCTCTTCCCAATATTATCGCTTTTCTTCGCCCTTCCATCAGGATGGCCATTAGCCAATCAGACTCTACGTGAAAAGGAAATCTGCTCCCACTCTACTAAAGGGAAGAAGATAGAGAAAAGGAACACTGGGGCTTCCTGCTGGGGAATATGGTCCACAGTTGTGGACAGTTAACATGGGGAAGGGGAGGTAAGTATTAAACCCTGATGTCAGGGGAAACCACCCACACTGAGAGCAATTACGTAAACACACACACACACACACACACACACACTCTCAATCTCAGTACTGCTGGCAGAGCTGGCTCACATTTTTTATCACAGCCCTTGCTAATTATTTTACCACTGTCTATCTGTCCCCCACCCCCTGGTTTGTGAGCTCCTCAAGGACAGAGACTGTCTTTCTCATCCCTGTAGCCCTCATTCCCACCTCATTCCCGCCGCTCAGTGCATACTATATAATGATCAAATACTGAAAAAAGTGCAAAAGAAAACTTGCTTATCTTTGGCATGGTTGCAGAAGAGTAAATTTCGTCATTTGTGTGCACGGTTCCCATTTACAACTAGTTACCATGCCTAGCATTAGAAAGTACCTCTACTGATAACCTAAAATTTGGAGGATATTGTGCTCCAAACCTTTAATCCTGTCAATTCCTTAAGTCTGGCAGGGATTCTCACCTTGGGTCAGGAGCACAGGGTTACTATACAGAGCATAAGTATACAGGGGTAGATTTTGGAAATTTGTATCCCAAAGCTATCTTAGTTAAAAGATACCACTTAAGCAGAAACCCATTGTCCAGAAAGCTACTGCTTATCCCTAAATACATAAAAAGACCATCTCTTGCCCTCCGGAAACATTCACACCTAGGCTTCCTAATAAAGAGTTGCATAAAAAGGTAGAGAAGTGAAACCAAAACCAACCACAAAAAAACTATCTACTAGATGTAATCAGAATCTGCGTGGGTGAGTTACATGTGTGACATTCCTTAAAATGTTAAGAGGGCAAGAACCATGAACTATGTTCTAGAGTACATAGCTCCATTGTGGAGCTTGGAAAGCATGGGCAAAGCAAGAATGAATCTATTTAGTACTTGTCAAGCAGGCATTTGAAAGCCACACTGGAAGACCCCAGTCAGACACGTTATTTCCTTCAGCTTACAGATGAGGAATCTTGGTCCTCCTAAATGTCAGCTGGGTGAAGACAGAGAATTGGATTCAGCCTGTGAAGCCCCCCTCTTGCCTGCCAGGTACAAGACACATTTACAGACATTATATCAGTTAATCCTCACATCCACCCTGAGGGGCAGTTTTATCCTCCCCATTTTACAGTGGCAGACAGGAAGGCTTTGAAAAGGTAAACCATGGGCTTTTTCCCCACCATCTACCACCTAATCTTTGACCTGGAGAAAGGCAACTTCTTCCCCTCCAGAACATCCCAGTAATTGAGCACACGTTGTAGGACCAAATCAAGATGTTTTGCTATGGGGCTACTTAGCATCACAGAGCGGGAAGGACACGGATTCTAAGACCAGATAGGGAGCTGGAATCTCCTTGGCACTGTTACTTACCCAGGCGGGCCACTGGGCGCACTCACACGCAGTCCCCATTTCTCAAACACCCTATTCCCCCACCCAAAGTCAGTCCTGCCAAAAACCCTTTAGGAGTTTAAGACTTTGCATGTTCAGGAAGATCATATTCAGAATCCCTGGACCACTTCACGGGACTGGAGAAAAAAGAACCACAACTTCCCTTGCATTTAGTTCCTCCCCCAAAAAGCTGTTGAACCTCATCTGGAAACAGCTGGGAGACAGCAGTTTAACAGGAAACCAAACAAACAAAAAAAGGCACAGAGTGTACCAGGGAGAGTTAGGCAGCTAGAACCAAGAGACCAGGGGACAGACAGGAAGCTGAGGTTAGAAAGAGCCGAGGCCAGAAACAGGCAGAAGAGAAGGCCCCGTTGGCCTTCCTCTAGGCCCAAGGAGAAGGAGAAAACCTGGAAAACAGTGGTGTGAAGGCTCGAATCCCATGGAAAGGGAAGTCAGACCACCACTGAGATCAAGTCCACTTCCCTCCCTGCCCCCATCTCAGCCCTCCTTCTCGGACAGCCAGCTAGTGGTCATGATAGGACAGCTGAGGTCAGAAACTCACTTCTGTTCTGCTGCTTTCCGTGCCAGAGGCGACAGCCCAGACAACTGGTTTTGAGTCATTCCTCTGTCAGTCTGTACCACAGTTCCACACTGCCAACTAAATTCGGGGACAGTCAAATCAGCCTCACACAGAGAGACAAAGAGTGTCTTCATGAGAAATTACTAGGCAGATACCCACTGGGGACCTGCAGAGTGGCAGGACTTGTGCACAGGGACCTACAGCAAAGCGAAAAGAGCCAGTGGAGCTGGAGGTCTTGAAGAGCAAGGTAAGGGTGCATGTTGCAATCCAGAAACTTAATTGAGCAATGGCCAGTTGCCAAGATATTTTTGAAAGAAGTGGGGGGAAAAATGCCATTACTAAAATTCTTTGGTGTTCTTTAATAACAAGCCTTTAGGTTATCCACACCTAAAAGGGCAAAGGGAAGACTGGTTTATTTTTCCTTTAGCAGAGCTTAGGTAAGAGCTTTCTACTCATGCCTCCTGCTACTTAATCATCCCTTCTCTCCCAGCACACGAAGAAGTTTATATTAAAAGAAAGAAAAGGATTAAGTCCTCTTAATAAAGCACATTCCTGTCTTTCACCTATAGTTTTGTTGGAAAAGGCTTTGTGGCATGTGCTATAATCTAGGTGGGTTTGATTCCAAGGAAGTGCTCAAAATTCGAGACTGAGTAAGCAGGGCTAAAAGAGCGCAAAAGACTGCAATCTCAATACCATTAAAAAAAGAGAGAGAACATCTTCATAGGCTCAGTGCCAGCTCAAACTGGCAAGACCAGAGAATCAGAGCAGAGCTTAACCAGTGTGCCACGCAAGGGGGATGGGAAGAGAGCTCTGGGTAATGCACTGCAGCCATGTGGCAAACAAACCACCAGGGAAACCTTCAAGAGAGGAAATGGGGTGGGGGTGGGAAGGCTCGTTTCAGAAACAAAACAAAGGAACAAGTTGACTAATCATTTATTCCAGAGAGGGAAAATGCCACCCTGAGCCATGTTTTAACTTCAGGTAAATGTGTAATGTTTTAACTTGGATCTATCTGGGTTTAAAGGCTCTCCAAAAAAAAGGGGTGGTGGGGGGGAACGTACCTACTTTTCTTTACTCTGTTTCTGGAGTCTCCCAGGAAACTTTCCCTGTGCCGCCTGCACAGCAGACCTAAGACAGCCTGGGCCAGTGCAGTTGCAAATGCAATAACCCCCACTCAGCAGAGATCCTATCGTGAGCTTCCTGCAGGACTGGACTGCTCTGCACTGCAGCTGGCCCAAAGAAGTTCTGTTGCTGAGGCAGAAGTCACCTGGCACAAATACCTAATATGCACTCGGAAGGAGGAGAGGGTGGAAAGACACTTTAACTCGTGAGGGCCAGGCAGATCTGTGACTTAGAAAAAAAAGGGATTTCGGCCCAGAGCTGCATCCACGTGTCAGAATGGTGTCTGGGATGCCTGCCCTCAACAAGACCATCTCCATATAATGTTTCAGGGCTGACCAGAGAACCTTCCAGCTTGTCAGGGGGGCAGACTGCACCTCCAACAGCTGTGGCTCTGGAAGTCTACCTAGGAGGCACCCAGGGTGGCCACTAAGGTGGGAGATGGTCTCCCAATAAAGTAGATGTGCGGACACCCAGGCTCTCTCTGCTGGGGCAATAAGAAAAGTAGCTAACATTTATAGAGCATCTAACTATGTGTCGTTCCATCCCCAAAACAGCCAATGGAGGCTTACTACTGTCACCCCCTCTTCATAAAAGAGGAAGCAGGCTCCGAGATTTGACACAACCATTAAATACTGGAACCAGCACTGAAGCCACCCCTGGACAGGTGCTCTTACCCATTACTCGATATTGCTGGAAACACACAAAGCGTTTGGGGGCAGGGGTGGAGAGTCGAGTAACACGAGGGGCAGCCTGTATTTACACCTCGTTCGCGTCCAAAGTCGGTGGCCTCGGGACACTGGAGGGGAGGGCCTAGATGGAGGACGTGAAGCCGGAAGAACCCAAGCACTGCCAGCAGGGGAGGAGGCCAGGACACCGACCCCTCTGGCTTCCACTGAGGATCCCAGACCCATAAACCCTCCCAAAGGGGCAAGAGCCAATGGGAATGCGTGCAGCCCAGGGGTCCTCGGGCGGTCGAGCCCTCCGCGCCGGTTTTGGCAAAGTAGGAAGCTCCTCTGGAGAGGTGGGGCCGGCCCGGGGTCGCCGGGTCCCTACCTGTAGGCCAGGGTCATGCACTCGAAGAGTTTGGTGAGCGAGGCGTCGATGGACAGGTGGCAGGAGCTAGTCTTGCCGAAGCTGTAGGTCTGGCACGTCTGCTTGTTGACCGTGTCGAAATCGTAGCCCTTCTTGGGCGGGTGCTCGCGGTGTGGCGACGACACCATGAAGTGGCCGCTGTGGATGATCTGCTGGCGGCGCGGAGGCTCCTCGCGGCCCGGCCCGGCCCTGGGC